GGGAGCGCTGGAGGGGAATTCGTCACTGGAGGATGGCACCCCGCCTGCCGCCTCCCCTCCCGGCGCCCGCGCTCGGGCGCTCTTTTGAAGGTCAAGGTTTCCCGCCCCTCCACCGGCGCTCGTCTGGCCCGAACGCGCGTTGGAAGGCGGGTGGGTGGCACAGGTGCGGGGGTGGCGGCCCCGCAAAGGGCGCACGGGGGTGCCAGGGGGTGGCGAGCCCGGTGCCCAGTATTTATAGCCCCGGTGGAGGCGGTCGATACCCGGATAGCGTCACTGCGCAGTTGAGAAGCCCTCGCAACGCACGCCCTCCGACCTCTCCCTCCCGAGAGGAGCCGTCGACGGTGCTCTCTCCCTGGGTACACCCCCTGCCCGGTACTCGGATATTTCCGAAAAAAAAAAAAAAAAGAGGGAGTAAAAAAAATAGTCGACCCCGCGAGTACTCGGCGATTCCCGGGGACGGACCTTCCCCCGCCGACCCTCACCGGCCTTTCCGCGGTTTCAAGGTCATCGGGGAAACTGCCACATGCCCGGGGGGGAGGGGCTCATTTTCCAGCGGAATTGGGGGAACCGGGCGAAACTATGTGGAGTCACTCTTTGAGAGGATATTTCGTGGCGCCACTTTTTTGGGGGGGAAATTATAGCTCGATGGATGTGAACGGTGCCACGGTACATATTTTCGGCCGGGCTGGAAAAAGGCGGATGAGGTTGCGAGGCGAGAATTTAACGAGCACCGAGGTTTCACCCCTTCCCGATGGTTCCACCTTTCAGGGTCAAAGCGAGATCTCTCGGAGGAGATAAGCGGATATCTCGAGAAAACCGTATTGCCCGGGGAAACCGAACGCTTAGATATGGTCTCGTATATCGAATCTTGCCTCGTTCCATTTTCAATGGAATTTAAAAATATGCCCAGTCGGGGGCGGCATCGCGAAAATGCCGGATCGATGCATGAATGCGCGCAAAATCCCGGGGGTTTCGCCCTTCGGCAGCTCCTCAAGGTCACCGCGGAAAATTCCTCCGGGAAGGAAAACCGGGCACCAATGCTCTCCCCGCAGAGAGAGTTCAGGTCTCTGCGAGTCATTCCGCGCGGTTCTGGAAAAAGTAGTCGCAAATGATAAACCATATGGACCATTAGTATAGAGATTAGTACGGAGCCGCCGCCGGGTACTTGCTCCAGTTTCTCGGAGCGTCGCGGGACCAGGAGAGGAGAGAGAGTTACACGTGCACCCTGAAATCGGTCCTCGCGCGTTGCCATGAAAAGAAAGAAAAAAAAAAAAAAAAAGAAACGCGAGGGCGCTCTCGGCGAGGTCTCGAAAAGGCCCGGGGGGTGGGCGCCGCGATCGGCGCGTCAGCTCTCGAGGGGCAATGAAAAGCGAGAGGGGCGAGGCGGGGCCTCGGGAGGGGTAAAACCACCCGGAGCGGGAAGGATCCTTTCCCTGGCGCCGGGGGGTGAGGCGCCCCGACGTATAGGAGCAGTGTATATATTCCTCTCGCGCGCGGGTCGGCGGAGGGGACGTGGGTGCGGACCTGCGCCGCCCCTCCTGGCGGGGGTAAGTGCATTACCATCCCTTTCGGGACGCTTCCGCGCATCGCGGCCGCGGCCATCCCTCTCCAGGGGGAGGCTGGTGGGGGGAGGTCCGCGGGAGCGCCAGGATCCCCGCGATCGGACGAGGACGGCAAACCAGCACCGACTGTACAGGCCGCGGCATCGCAGCTCTTCTCGCGAGGCGGAGGGACCAGCTGGCCCGAGACCGAGTCAGCCCGAACCAGCTGGAGCCAGCTGGAGAGTCGCGAGGACCCCGCGGTGTCCGACGACGGCCAACTGACTGGCCCGGGCAGGTGGAGGGACGCGGACTGGGAGCGCCTGGGAGCGGCTGGAGTCCTTCCTAGTCAGCTGGCCGGGAGTCGCGGAATGGCCCGGGTGGCCGCGCCACCGTCGACCCGCTTCTTCCCCGTGGATTCACTGGGAAAACTCCCGTGCCCGGGGAAACCGGTTGACCCGACTCGGCTCCTTTTGGACGGCGATTTACGGTTTGTTATCGGCCCGCTATTCCGCCGGGACTGCGGGGACAGGGACGTCGACACGTTTGCGTGAGTAGAATGCTCGAGAATGGCTGGTTCCGATGAGTTTCACGCTCCTTTTGGTTTTTTTTCTTTTTCTTTTTCTTTTTTTTTCTTTTCTTTTCCTCCGAGTTCTTTTCGCTTGTTTCTCTTTTTCGTCGCGCCGCCTTATTCCATGGTAATACGGTGAATGGATTTTTTTTCCTCCCGTTTGGAGTCCTTCGCCGTTTCTGCGCATCAATTGGACTGGCAGACTCGCGCGGACGATGTACGCGTCGGGCCGCCCTTGACGGCGAATTGGGTGGAGGGAGAAAAAATTCAGAAGGTGGCGGAACGTCGGCGTAATTGCCTACAAGTGGGCATTTATAAATCCAGCTGCTCCGCTCGGTTAATTAGGGCGGCTCGCATCGTAGCAGGACCGGACTTAGATGTCCCTTGTTAGGGTTTGGGAGGTAAGCAGGGCCCTGTTTGTTCCCGTATCAAAATTCGGATTACCGATGAGAGCGAATCCGTCACGACGGGGCGAGTTCGATTGGGACGCCGCGGAGGCCCAAGTTCACCGTCCAAGTCTATTAATAAAGGTTATTTGAAATTCATCCAGAAATCCGCTCGCTTCCGGGTGCGCGGTATTAATAAAGGCCAGGAACGCCGCCGATCTCGAACTCGGAATTGATCGTGGCGAAGTTTTGGCACTCTGGCGCCTGAAGTTCGTTTTTACATTCTCCACGTGGCGCCTTCCCCCTTTCGACGCGAGAGAGATAATTCGGACGAGGAAGTTCAACCCCCCACCGTTTGCTCTTTTTTATTCGCCCGATAGAGATTCGCCGGGAAACGGGGCCCCGAAATTGCTCGTTGCGACGAATCGGGCCTGCCCGAAAATACACCGGAAATTGCGTTTCTGCTCTTCTGCCGAACCTCGCCCCTCTTTGTTGCGTCGCGGCCTTTTGTCTTGCGTCGCGACGCCGGGCGGGGCTACGTGTACGCGTCTCCCGTGTCAAGCGGCAAAAGCGAAAGCCGCGACGCAAGGTTAACCGCTGAACTTCGCCGTTTTCTGTCTCTTTGAGGACGGCCTCGTTGACCTCCCGGTTTAAATCCACACTCGAAAGGAAAGGAAAGATGTCTCCTTCTCTCTTACCCTTCTCGGGGATTACTCGGATCGTGGATAACGGGGCGCTCCCACCGTCGGGAGCTCCAAAGGAAACGTGACTCTGGAGTAATGTTAAAACTGAGATTTATTACACGTAATGTTAAAAGAAGGTTAATCACGAAAAAAATAAATATTAAGAGAGAAGTTAATTACAACGCGGCGAAAATGTTTCTTCCTTCGAGCGGCTCCCTTTTGTGGTCCTGAGTCACGGTCGAGTTTCGCACCAAATGCGTGTATAAATGCTTTTGCGGGAAGTTAAATTCTTTAGAGTTGAATTCGGTATGGCAATTGACTTTTTCAACATTTTGATTTGTCAGGACATATTAATTAATTCACGCATAGGACAATTATTGAACGGTAGCTTTGATAGTTACCGCAATTGCTTTTGTTTTATTAGGAGGATGCTAGGATGTTCTGATTTTCAGAATCCATTGTTTGTCTTTTAATAACTTCGATTAGCGTTTTCTTTCGCTCACCCCTGAGTGAATCATTGATTTTTTTTTTTTATAGCGAAATTGTCATAATTTTGATATTTTTAGACTATTTCAAGAAGAACACGAGGCTTTGCAACAACCTCTTTTTTTTCGCCGCAGATGTTACATTAATCCTTTGTTTTAAAATTGCGTTAAAATTATTTTCGGCAATGCGAAGGCAAGACGGTTTTTCTTGTTTTCGAAAATAGGACCCGACGGTCTCGATAATCTCGAAATTTGTGTCCCCTGAACAATGGGAGGTTTTCGTTATCCTTTTTCGATTCTCGGAAAGTCGGTCCCTATTCAATCCCTCTCCGAGCACAATTTGCAAACGGGACCAAGAACCTTTCCCTACTTTCTTCTCGTTTTGCGTAATTATCTCGTTTTACCGAGAATGCCCAATTTGCCATTTCCGTGGCACAAAAGCTCAAGAAATGACGCTTCAGTCCCGGGCATAAGATTCACGCAGTCCCCCGCCATTATTTAAAATTACCTCGTCGAAAGGATCGAATTCAATCTCGAAGACAACTTCATCTGCCCCCTATCTGGATATATCTTCAAGGTCTCGCTACCTTTCTATTGCCACCCTTTTGTTCCGCAAAAGAAATCAATCCAAAGTACTAGTACCTTGAGTTTAAGATACAGTCCATCTCCCTGAATTTAATCCCAATGTCTGATAAATCTACAGAAATTGATATCAACTCAACAGTCCATTTAAATTATGTCCCTGTTTTCCAGGAGAGATCTAAACTTCGCTTGAATGAAAGGGCACACCTCCATCCATCGTGTGTATCTCTCCGTTCCTTTGCGTATTACCTTTTTCTTTAGTGAAGTTTCAAGTCTCGCCCGCAAACTCGATATATCGTTCCTCGCGGGCGAACAATCGCGATCCCTTCTATACCGGCTCGCTCGAAAATTCGCTCTCGTTCGCTTTTCGCGCCTCGCTAGTGTCGGTGGCGTTAAATAAGCGCACCTTTTATTCGCCCCGGCAGGTGTATCGATTGGGTTATTCGTCGGTCAGCCATGGGTCCTTTGTGTGGGTGAGGCTTTACGCGTGTCCGCTGCGACGGTGGCGATAAATTCGTGTCGCGAATCGGAGCCATTGGTCGCCGGTGACGTCAGCCGGAATCGCGAAGAGTGTCTGGGGAAGAAAAAAAAAAAAAACGAAGAAGAAGTATACAGAGATAGAGACATATTTCGCGCGTACATATGTACGGGCGTTACACATGGGTGTATTTTTTCCCCTCATTTACCAACCGACTCGTACACAATGAGTCATCCTTTAAGTCATGCCTAACGTTTTCGCGTTTCTTTGTTGGCAGTGAGCCGGCTGCACTGCGAATCGGAGTCCTTCAAGATGGACCTCATCCTGGACATCAACTCTTGGCTGTACCCGATGGAATTGGGTGAGTATTTTTAAGGGGAAAAGAAATATGACACGAGGGGAAATAAAAAATATACTCGCTAGTAATTGTCCATTCTGAACGGCTCTCCGTCGCGACCTTGGAAGCGCGCTGCACCTCGGAATTTTAAATTCGGATAACGTTACTTCTGCTTCCGTCAGATATTCCCCAATAATTGCGTGCATGCCTACTGGGAGTTGAATAGGAATTAATTTAATGAGCTCGGGGTCGTACGTAATGGCAGATGGTACACGGTGTATATGCGTTAAAACCTTCGTTAATCCACTTACCATGTCCCGGTGTTGAACGACTTTTCTCAGTCGTTTGGAATAATCGGGGGTTACATTGAACGTGCCCGATAATTCGACAATTTGAACGGTAATTGGGCCGTACTTTTATATCGTAGAAACGATTAAACTTTATCAGCCATCGGGTATATCTGTGGTTATAATTCGCTTCTTTTTACAAGGTAGGGATAAAATGGTACTATCTTGCCGCGTTCTTCTCGCTTCGTTGGATGCAGAAATATTTATCAAGTTGCCCCCAGCTTTGGTTAAGGGTCCTTTCGATATTTCTTATTTTTTACCTTCTGCCTATAATTCCATCGACATATATCCTGGTTTACGTGTGCGACGCTTACGCAACCGGGGCCCGGAATCTGACCTCTTCGGGGGTCTTGTGCCTTTTTGTTCCCAGTCATTAGCAGCTGGGCCGTAACCTGCGAAACTGGGTCAGTCACTTCGGATGCGGAGAAACTCCTTACCAGATTTCTGCCTTCTTTTCCTTTCCTTCTTCGGTGGAATTCTGCGAATAATTCGTCGTTCTAGTACAACGGTTACGCGCTAAACGCATAGTAATACGTCCGGAAAACACAACTACACCCTCTCACCCGTGTATCCTAAATTTTGTACTCAATCGCATACTTCTTTTTTTTTTACCGATTTTTATTGCCCCGAAGGACGCGGATTGTTCTTTCGTTACGACGCTGGTTTGACGCGAAACCAAGATGGCCGTTCCTCCGGATAACTGGTCGCGAGGATTCGCGATGGGATAGCGTTGCGCAATACTGGAAACGTATCGGCAGCTATTATAACATCGTGGACGCACGCCGAGGGAGAGAAAAAAAAAATGATAAGACGGAAACAGTCGGGGCAGCAATTTTAACGCTCATTCCCGGGCTGCGTCGCGGAATGGTAAAGAGTGCACCGTGGAAGTCGCGGCCGACTACAAAGCGAGTTTGTTTACGTTAGGTGTATCTCGATTTGCGTCCACGGTATTAAAATAACCCCGGAGGTCGATAAGGCTTTAGCTCGGCCTTGCGCGCCCGTTCGACGGCCTTACGTGGACGGTTTAATTCAGCCGAACCACGGTGGAAAAAAAAAAAAAAAAGAAACCCGGAAAAAAGGATATAAGGAGTAAGGCCGGCAATTCGGTCGCCTCTAGTACTTGTTGCGTACACGTCCCTCCGTTCGATAGTCGGAACGTTTGTAATTAGCGAAGAACATCGCAAAGTGTTATTCCGCAACTCCCTCCCGGTGTAAATTTTCCCTGTCCACAATTATACTACGTCCCGTTCCTCTTTGACGCGTTTCCGTTCCTTTTCGAGGGGGGGGGGGGGGCTCCCTTGATATGCGCGCCTCCACCAAGAGGCGCGCCTCATCGGCGTCGGGTCTTCAAGGTCGCGGGCGCGTCTCGTCCTAACCAGAGGAACATCCCGAAACGTAGTTTAGCGTTTCTTCCATTGTGTCAACCGAATATCTTTCCTCGATCTCTTCCCCGAATCCCCCCCCCCCAGATCGCGATATATTCACGATAGGATCAATCGTCGCGACCCGTCGCGACGATTACCCCGAAAACATACGAAACCTCGTTCAGAGCTCGCTCTTGCGCGAGATATATATCACCTACATCGACAGGGACCCCGAAGGGTGTGTCGGGGGAAGGTGGGGGTCTCCCGTTACCCGACAAAATTCCCGAGCCCGGGGCACGGGTTTCCCGGTACGAGGAGGATCCGCCGCGTGTCCCCCCTCGCGTTCCGCGGCCCGGCCGAGGAGAGCCCAAGGACACGTCACGCTGCAGTAAAGTCACCCACCCACCCCCCGCCTCTACGGCATTAAGCGGGTGATATCTCGGGGGAGGGGGGTAGAGGAAGCGCGCGCGCGCGCGCGGTCAAGGGGAGGCTTCCCGCGTGGGTGGGTGACGCACCGACGACCACGGCGGCGGGGGGTGTCCCTTGCGTCGATTCGCCTCCCCCTATGTTTACAAATTCATATTCCACCACCCCTTTCGGTTCCTTCCGCTGGTCGAGGTGCGCGCGCGCGTGATTCCCCCGACCGACCGTCCCAGCTCCTCTCTGTTGCCCCCCTCCCCCTCCCTCTTGAGCGAAGGTTAGTCGGCTCGCTAGGCCGCGCCGCGCGCTGTATTGACGCGCGCGCGGCTCAGGCTTGCGCGAGATGACGCAATCCCCTTCCCCCTCCGCTTCCTCAGGGCCGAGCGCGGCCCTCTCCACGCTTCGCAAGTTCAATGCCAAGGTCAAAGCTGGCCGCGCGGGGAGAGAGGCGGGTTCTCGCGAGCTCGCGAGCTCTCTCGGTCGCGGGGCGGACCTCCCCGCCTTTCGTTCGGCTCGCTCTCTATCTCCCTTCCCTCCGCCGCGCATCGCACCTCGCCCTTTTTCTGCTTCCCCTCCTCCCCCTGCACTCCTGCGCTTTCGTCCTTCCGTCGCCGAACCACCTTGCCTACCCCTCGCGGCCTCTCCCAGCCCTGACTCGACCGACTTTCCCTCCACGCCACGCCGCTACTTCGGCGCTGCTTCCTCTACCGGTGGCCTCTCCGAGTCTCCCCGTCTCCTTCCTCTCCTTTCCCCGTCGGCGCTCTCACTCTCACCGAGCCGGCGCTCTCTCGGGAATTCGCGGCGTAGATATTCCCTCGGTTTCACGCGAGGTGGACCCCGCGCGTCAAGAGTGACTTCTTTCGGTCTCGGGATCCGGAGGGGCCCTCTCTCTCCCTCTCTCCATCTCTCTCTTCTCGCCCTTTCCAATCCGGCTCGGTCCTTCGGGCGCTCCGGATGACGCCACTCGACGTGTTCGGACCTCTCCTGCCCGTTATTACCCAAAAGTGTGAAATCGTATTTCAGGGATTCCGGGGGCGGTTGCTTATTAATAACCACGTGAAAGTTAGATGCAGTCGGGGTATTCGGGGAAATTCTTTTGGAGGTTAAGGTGACGCGGAACCTCTCTGGGATGCGCGTGCCCGAGTGACAGTGACCGCGCGGATGCTCCTTAGTAGTTTGAGGTTGGGGCAGAGGGGCCGTGGCGAGCCGATGGTAGGCCTTACCGCGAAATCTGGTTTACCCCCCTCTTTTTTTTTTCTATTTTTTTTTCTCAAGACCGTGGCTCGTGGATGCGTCCCTCGCGGTCCTCGTATCGACCCGCTGGCGGGCGTCTCTGTTTTTCTCTTGACGAGGGCCCCGATTGGTCCTCCTCTCGGCTCGGCTTGAATCGTACAAAGTGTCGCAAACCTCGCGGCAACTCGGCCGTCCATTTATTTATTTATTTATTTATTTATTTATTCGTGCCAATTGAACGCGCTTTGTCCCATCATACGTTCTTTCCGACATAGACGTGGGTTCTCGTTGCTCATGCGCGCTCGGATTTCTGTTCCTTAATTGCGTTATACGGTGCCAAGTCATTCGTTCTTGCACAATCGCCGCCGGCCATGCCGAGAGAGAACGATGGACGGGATTCGGAGGATGCGAGATAGAGACGGAGATTAGAAGAGTGACAAAACCGGGGGGGATGATTTCATGCGCTCACTAATTCCGCATTCGTCGTCGCGAGTCGTGTCCGTTGTTGTTGTTGCCGTCGTTGTAGTTGTCGCGAAAAAGTAGACTTTATCAACGCTAGGATGCCTTTTAAATCCTATCGGTCGGTAAAGCAGGACGATGGGATCGATTGTCGCCCACTTCGTCCTCGGGGCTCAAGGTGGAAGGGGTGGAGAAGTGCATTATTGGACTTGTCGCGATGTGCTTGCACGGACCTGGAGATCCTCCCGTACCTTTGGAGCTGGATCGCCCTTTGTTGAATCGATAGAGAGGGCTCGTCGCCGATTCGGAGACAATGCGAACGCCTCGTGCCCCCGTTGCAACCATTTTGGTTAATCAAACGTAACCCCACGGCTTGAATTGGTCAATTTGTGTCGTTCGACAGTACCCGGCCCTATTTGTTTTAATTAGCTTCGCTTCGGTTTTAATCATTGTTTATTTATTGAGAGGATTAACGAGTCGGCGTGATTCGGCACGGAAACAACGAAAATCCGTCACTCTGGTTGTGGAGCATTTCGGTCCTTTTTCTTTCTCTTCTTTTTTTTTTTTTTTTTTTTAATTAACGACGGTTTGCGTTGTTTATTCTTATTGTCGCGTGGGATCGCAGGGACAATTTCGGTTAATTTAGAGTCCCGCGAGAATATTCGTTCGCATTTCGTCATGGACGCGACGTCATTTACTCGGTATATTTCGTTAAATCATTGATTCTACGAACGTTGGGCGCTATGGTCCGGGACACCGTGACTTCGTTAGTAATTAAATTGCAATTGCCCCGGGCTCGTGAAAATCTGTAGAGCTTCGCGCCAAGTGCGTACATATGTATGCGCGAACCTCATCGAGAGGCCTCGTAGACTTCGGTACGGCAAATGGATAAATATTAATATCTTAATTTTCAGACTCCATTTATGAAGTTTTTTTTCTTACGGGATTATCGCGTTCTCCAGTTATTCCTTTGTCACTCCTGGCAGAATTTCCCTCGGAGTTATGAACACGTGTCACGTTTAATTTGATTTGTCAGTATTGTCGGAATATTATGATCGCTATTTCCCCCCTCTTCGATTAACGGGTGATTATTTTATTTGGTCGGTTGCTTCGGATTTTGTTTTCGTTATGATCCCGTGTTTTTCCTTTCTTCTTAAACTGGCTCTCCCTTCCTGTTAAGTCAATAAAGGGGGACTTCCTTATACAGACGTTTATCGTCTTCCGTGACGTGGAAGCAGTCCTTTGCGCCGTGAAAAGTCGAGGCATTGGATGAACTTTGAAATCACTTTCAATTGTTTTCATTCATTAACGCCGATTATTGAATATCCTATTTAGGGTAAAACGCCGTTATGAGATATTTCGCTTCGTCCCTGAAGTACACGGTTGAATTTAATTTCTATAGAATGCTGTAAGTATGATTTCAAAATCCTGATCTCGAGCTAGTTGATCGTGCCGACGTGAAGATCGCTGCCGTGATAAAAATCTTAATACCAAGAAAAGGGGGTAAAGCAGTTTTATAACCGTCGAATAAGGCATACTTGTTCCCGAGATTGTCTGTGATTAATCAATGAGGTAGTTTAAACCTCTCGAGTCCCCAATTATGCAATAAATCAAGTCATCCTGAGGTCGTATCTTTTCCTATCCGTTTTGAAAGACCGGTAAGTCAGTAATTCGTAAACAACTTTCGAACACTCATATCCTCGCACCTCGATATCAACCTTTTTCATTAATGAATTTTTTTTCTTACGACTTCTAAATCGGCACATACCTTGTATGATTTAGAATGTCAAAAGAATCACTAATAAGCGATTGCGACGTGGTAATCGGTGTCAAAGGAGGAGAATTTCATGCAGACGGGACCGAAGCAAATTGATCAAATTTCTCGATAATGTTTAATCGTGAACGAGGTAATGAGAATTTTTTAATATATTCCACGTCGAAGTATAGGGCATACGGTCAGGTGCAATAATTGCAGTCCATGATTCTTTAATCTTTTGTAAAAAATTAAAGAGAAAATTATGTACGCCGGCGCGGTCGGTCGACCCTGGTGTACTTTCTCGTATCTCTTTCTCTCTCACGTATTGTTTACTCACTCAAAAGGTGGATACTTTTGGATATTTGAGGAATTTTGTTGATTTTTCGTGGTTTCAGGTGACAAGTTCCGATTGGTCCTGGCGACGACCCTTCGCGAGGACGGATATGCCGACAGTGGTGAATGGAACGCCATCGAACAGGAAGGTGGTTCCAGGGCGGACAGTTTCGAGTACGTGATGTCAGGAAAAGTCTACCGAATCGAGGGGGACGAGGCCAACAACGAGCCGAGCAGTAGGCTGTAAGTACACGGATCTTGAAATATTAATCTCCGCTTTATACGCGAGTTTGCTCCCGATAACGAGCCTCGCTCGTGTGTATACACGTCGTATGTACTCGGTGTGTACGTGTTTTAACGTCGTGAAACGCTTTGTTACCCGCTACCAAATGAGAACGTCAACGTAAGGGAAGCTATTCTTCGGTACACGGCCTCTTACAACTCGTAGCTAAAAAAATTTCAAGATTGGTGTCGAATTAGCGGAACGTCGGTATCCTCAGGAGAAGCTGCTCTTCAGTACCTTCCTCCTTCCGTTTGGTTCGCCAAACGATGTACACGGTACGTGTACTAATACCCTGCCAAAACGACTACTCTCAGAGAGTACTCATTTTGGCAGTGCACTTTGACATTAGGTAATTAAGTGACAAACGCGAAGTAAGGTCGAGACCCTAAGGTCATATTGGAAGCGCCGTTTTGTTCCGTTCCTAGGTACAGGTATTTATTTCCGATTTTCAATTAGCTCCGCCGAATCGACTCTTTGATCTAACGCGATCGCTCGTCACCTACGGTGTAAAAATCGTCATGTCGGTAATTACGGTGAATCTTCGGTAGAAAAGTACACCTCGACGTTTAGGGTACTCTTTGAGGGGGGGATTCGCGCAATTCTGATGCCTCTTCCGGTCCGGGAAACCGGAAGAGGCGTAGTCCCTCGTTGCTTACCCATTTCAGAATAGAAGGATCAGAACAGAGAAGAAGAGCGTGATCGTGGGCGCCGAGACAAAAGATATGAGCTCGCGGACTAATTGGGGAAGATTTCCTGCGGAATAAAATTGAAAGATTGTCTCGAACGCTCATTGAGGCTCCGCTCGTTAACTTCGATACCCCCTGCTGGTCCTCTCCATCTCCCGTCTTACCGACAATCACTCCTTGGAAGTCCGACGTTTACTGGAGTCTCTCGTTACTTCCTCTTCGTCTTTCTCCTCGGTGCCTCCTCCTCTTTAGATTTGCCGCTCGACGTTTGCCTCTACCTCTCTCTTGCCGCCGTTCTTTTCTTTTCTTTCTCCTTCTCACTGCCGCTATCGCGGGAATATTAAGGCGATAAGCAACGAACGAGTACTTTTTATTGATCTTGTTGTTGCACGGAAAAGAATTTCATTGAACCGAAGAAATATTTCTTTGAATAGTACCCAAATAATATATCTTGTTGATTCAATGGTGATAATTATTTGACTCGAATAAATTGGAATACATTGGATGCGACGTTTCTTCGGAATGATAACAATTTATTCGAGTAACTTGAATTACTCGTTGATTTAACAAAATATTTCTTTGGTTCAGTGATTTTTTTTTTCTTTTTTTTTTCCCTCAGGTTACTTTTCTTAAGTCGGTGATAGAACGCTCGTAATGACTGATCGTTGAACGATCCCTAGCGCGATTTGGATTCGTCGCTCGCGTTGGGGAATTTCGGAATCAGGTTAACGAACTAAGTGACGTAGGGAGAAAACTCGGGAATATTCCCGGGAAGAAAGGAAGAATTTGATTAGGCGGATTGAGAGGGGCGAGGGCGCGGAATTCGTTATGGAATGCCTTTCAAAGCGACGAGGGCGGTTCTGCACACTTCCGTGTTACCCCAGGATGTGGAGCATCCTGGCGTCGATAAATCGAACCGCGACGCCTTGACTTCGAACGCCTTTTCAACTAGAATAAGAAAAAAAGAGAGAAAAAAACTGACCGCGTTATTTTTCTATGATTAGAGGAGGAAGACTTGATAGACATTCGCGAGCAGACTTTTCACCTAGGCGGGCTATCGATGAAATTTCTCTCGCGGTATCAGGAAACTTGTACTCAGTGCTTACATCAAGTTCGATATTTAGCGAGAAATTGAAAGGTCGGTAATTTTACCATTTACTTTCGCCTCTTTTGTCCTTTTAAAATGTGTTCTATCGGGGCCTCGCGGTGCCACCCGATGCAACTCGGTTGCATCGCCTCGACCGTGCGCGCCGTACTTTCTCTTCACCTCGGCAGATGGCGACACTCGCTTGGCAAAGGGACCCCGGTAGCGTCCAACATCCAATTTCGCATCGGATGATTTTTTTTTTTCGACCCTCTGAGATTTCCCTCGACAATGAAAACGTACCTCGTGACCCATCGCGCTCCTTCCACCTCATTCGAAATTGCGCATAATTTTTCACGTCCGAATGAACGTCGATCACATTTTTGCTTCTTAAGGGTACGTAACATTTATTGAGAACGTGACATGAACGAACGGTTAACGATCGTCGATTCCATAATTCTCGCCATATTCGAGAGATCGTCACTTTTGTGTCGCCGCTTGTCGCGGGTAATACAAGGGTCGTCCTTTTCTACCGAGGAGAGCGTCTCGGCATTTTTCATTACCATCCCGAGAAGATTGATTATCTCGCGGTTTAAGCGGGGGCAGAGGCGTAATCTTCGCCCAGAAGGTGAGAGGCCGGGAGTCGGAGGTGCTCCTTCGTAAAAGCTTATCTCCCGCGAGGAAGAGCTGTAAAGATATCAAGTCGGCTCGGAAGGGACACGGGGTAGGTCGGAGGTGTCCGAAGGGGTGGCAGGGAAGAAAATGATAAGAGCCGACGAGCGGGACGTCCCTCGGACTCGTCCTGGAGTAGTTCGTTACCTCGTCGTAAAATCCCTGAGATATTGCGGAAGGGGAGCCGCTCGGCTTTTCCGTTCGCCGGAAGTGTTCGAGAGAGAAAAAAGGAAGGAACCAAAAAGGAATGTCCGAGACATCCGGAACAAAAAAAAAAAATGAAACGAACCCCGCCTCTCCTCGGGGACGCCGCTGCAAGTTGCAGGGAAAATAGAAGAAAAGGATGCAAGGAAAGAAGAAAATCCAGGAATCCTCCGGTGCCTCGCTTAATCCCCGTGGAAATTGCGGATGGCCGACTTCGCTTATCGGAACTAAATTCTGGCGGGTATTTTTCTTTTCTTTTCTCCCCCTGTTTTCTTTTCATAATTTGAAGAGATTCTCAAGTGAATTCGTAGGACGATTCTCCGGGGACACGTTCCTCTTCAGAGTCACGAGAGGGTTTTCGGAAAGGGTTTTCATCATCGGGAGGCGAGGAACCGGGAAAGCAGGAAAAGTTAGCTTCCGGTAGCTCTCTTCGGTGTCCCGGGACCGGAAGGCCGGAGTGGTCCGGAGTTCGGCGAGGGAAGTTCGGGATCGAGTTAGGGCTCGGGTCGGCGGTCAAACTCCCTCGGGAGACGGGAAACGCGGGGGCCGAGAAACGACGGGCGAGAGAGGGAGACAGAGAGAGATCCTCTGTGCCCTTGGAGAACAGGGAGCCACTCTGCGTTCACTCCGTCGATAAAGAAGCGCGTGAACACAGCTGGTGGTTTCTCAGTTCCCTGAGGGTGTTGTCGTCGTGCAGGAAGATGTCCCCAGGGACGACCTACGTCTCTGCGGGAACGTCGAAGGTCGAAATTATGACGTCTTCGAGGTTACCAAGATTACCAAGTTTACCAAGATTATCAAGATTATCAAGATTATCAAGATTATCAAGATTATCAAGATTATCAAGGTTATCAAGATTATCAAGATTATCAAGATTATCAAGATTATCAAGGTTATCAAGATTATCAAGATCTTCAAAGCGGAGGCACAACATGAAACGAAGACGAGGGAAAAACGATTTCATCCAACAATCAATTCGACGAAATTCGCGATCGGTACATCCCTGTGCAATTCTCTCTCTCAACATGCATCCTAAAACAGAGTTTTTTTCTTTTATCGGCGGTATACCCTCGAGTTCAATTTCTTTTTTAAATCGCAAGAAAATAGCACGTGGTATAACAGTTTTTTTTACCTTTAATTCCATTTCTTTTTTGCCTCGTGACAATTTCAAGTACTCATAACCAGACTGTCATTGAACGCAAAGTTTAATCTCTTTTTTATCTCTATTTTTTAATAACGCGTCCCTCCCCTTTTCTAATAATTCATTGCGTGGTTTATTTTGTTTAATCGCCCGCGGTTGCATTCCCATCCTGGCCTTTATACCAGCGAAAGATTTGCTTTGACATCGTAGAAGAGGAAGAAAGTTCGAGCGAGTAAGAACTCCTGTTTTTTGAGCGTAACGAGGAGGCACCTTCCGGAGGTTCCCGACGAGGTAGCAAGGACGAAGTGGAGGTCGAAGTGGAAGACGAAGTGGAGGGCGGGAAGGTCGGGGGTGCTCGTCACCGGGGGTTCGTGAAGGCCGCCAGGGATGGCCTGACAGCTAGGGGATGAATTATTGATCCGGGTTGCCCAGAGACCCCCGGAATATGGATATAGCTGATCCTCGGGCCACCCCGGAGCAGGCGCGCGCATCCTTTAGCAGGACCCCCGCGCATCTCGCGCTGCGTAGGCGCATATATATGCCGGTTCCTCGAGAAGAGAGATGTCACTTGGTGAGAGCGTTTTTAATACTTTCACGAGAAATGTCATCAGGCACGAAGAGGGGGCGGAAAAGGTCAGACCCCTTCGTTTAAACCAGATTCTCGACTGGAATGACCCGAGTACCTGATACCTGCAAGTGGAAGACGATCGCGCAGCAACTTCGTAATTTGTTAATAATTAATTTTCGGACGGAGGGAGTCGTTGAGAGCTATATTTTAGACAGAGTCGGAATAATGCCGGATTACGCCTCGGCATTTCGCGTTCACGGATAGACGAGGATACTCCATCCGATGTAACGTCAAACGACCGATAGCGGAGTACCAATAGAGGGTCGGGAAAACGAGTGAAGGTATCCGCCGAGGCGGGAAGTTCACTCGCGACGTTACCGACCGAGGGCTGAGACGCGCTCTGGAGGTAGCTGTGTGCACTCGAGCTGACGAGGATGCGCGCGCCGCCTCCGGCGCGGCTCGCGATTGGTCGGCGCGAGACGCGCTGCGCAAGGCTGCGCGGAAGGTCGGCCCAAGTGTCAAAATCAGCTGACGCGACCCGAGCGCGCGGCAGACAGCTGATCGCTTTTGACAGTCGGGAGCGCCCAAGTCGGCGCAGGTCTCTC